GAGCTTTCATGGACTCTTTGTGTTTGAGTGGTTTCCCCAACCATGGGAGCAGCTCTTCTGTCCTCCTTTAATGTTGGAAGTTCACACCTGATAAAAATACTCACATTCCTGGTGGGATGGGGCTTTTAATTAAAAACTGCTCTCATCACACGTGTGTTCAGATATCTGCAGGTTCAGACACCTGCACCTTGCAGATGCAGATTCAAAACACAGATGGATCTGAATGGCTCATTAGCTAATTGAAATTTGCCTCATCTTCCCAGAATTGTAGAAATGGTTGGGTTGGAAGGGTCTTTAAAGATCACCCAGTGCCACCCCTGCCATGGCAGGGACACCTTCCACTGTCCCAGGGTGCTCCAAACCCCATCCAGCCTGGCCTTGGGCACTGCCAGGGATCCAGGGGCAGCCACAGCTGCTCAGGGCAGCCAGGGCCTCCCCACCTTCCCAGGGAATAATTTCTTTCTAATTTCCAAAGTAATCTCTTTCAGTCTGAAGCTGTTCCTCCTTGTACTTCTTTTTCTTTAAGGAAAAAAAAAGGTATAATCTTTAATTTTGCTGCATTTAGCATAGTTCTCCAGTGTGTAAGGTTCCTGTGGAGGTCAGTAACACTGACCTCTGAGTAAATATGGAAAAAGACTCTTTTTTAGGACTGGTACAGCAGGAATGTTGCTGTTTCAGTGGTAGATGTGGTACATTTCAATCAAGGCTATAGAAGAAAACAGCCACCTGGGTGTACTGAACCAGAGTGGACACAGCCAAAATATTGGCTGTCTTGAGTGTGTGAAATGCAGAATTTGATGCAGTTCAGTGTGGTCAAAGAAAGGATGGGGGCTGTGTGTCAGACATGGATAACTGAGGTGTTACTCCTCTTTCCTCTATGAATTTGTTTTTAGATATTGTTTAAAAATAATTTAAAAAATAATCCAGAAGCAATTGTTTAATTGCTAATGAGCTCCTTGAACCAAGAAGTGAGTCCAGAAGGAATGATTGAGCTTAGCTACTCCAAAAGGGGTATGGTTTCCACTTTGGCACAAGTGATTATTTGTCTTGATAGCAGAGCAGTTGCCTTAATTAAAACACTGTCCACATACCTGGGCAGCTCTGCTGGAGAATTTGGTTACACAGGACAACAGGATCCTTGTTTGACACGTTTCCCTCACTTTCTCATTCAGATTTTCTTTCCTCTGCACTACACATCCTTTGTGTATCTCCTTGGAAAAAAATATCCCCCAAACACTGTGCCCTGTTCCTTCTGAATGATGCTGCTGTTCTTCCAGGCCGAGCCCCAGATCTCCTCCTTTTTTTCTTTCCAATTTCCATTGAGGGTGGTCTCACTTCCTGAGCAGCCAGAGCCACCAGAAGAGATGACTGAGAGCTGATCTGGGGGAACGAGGGTGCAGGAGGGCCAGGTGACATTAACCCTGGCCTTTAGCTGGAGATACAAGGTGCAGATTGTGTTCTGCATGTGACCTTGCCGTGCTTAGAGTGGGAAAAGATTGTGTCAGAGCAGAGGTGAGAGCCCAGCCTTTGCTTATAAAAGAACCTGGTCCTCCAGTGTTTGCACCACAGTGACATTTATTTGTAGTGCAGTGATGAGTGGAACAAAATCACTGCTTTGCTGTTTCAGTTTGTCCTGAGGAGCGGCTTAATTCTTGTGTTTCTCAATTGAAGTCAAAATTGCACATGTGATGACTGCTGTAGATAAGTGCTCAGGCACCTGAGGGAGTTTTGGCTCTTCAGTTAACATAGAACAACCTTAACAAGAAAAATTCATGAATCGACTGTTGTTGAAAACTCAGAGCATCAGTTGCCTTCCAAGCAGAGTTGCCTTTGATGGGATCAGAAGATTAAACTGAATCCTGCAAGAGTCTGAATGTGCACAACAGTAATTTAAATGTTTTAGTAAGATTCAATATTTGACATGGAAAAGAATCCAAAGGACCCTAAATTCACAAGGAGTCATAGTCTCATGAACATAAACCTGAAGTGTTTAAAGCTGCAAATTACCTTGTTCAAATTACTGCCTTTGCCTTGTAAGCAGTTTTCAAGAGTAGAAGAGGAAAGGCAGTGTGTATAAATTGCAAATTCATTATTAGGAAGTACAGTTGATGTAATAAATAGTATAAAAATTACATTCTTAGAGTAATTGTGCCACACTTGGGGTGCTTTTCCAATAATTAGAATAGCACGAGTAGTTCCATCAGCTGGAATATCTGTTCTTTTTATAAATACTGTAGAAATTGTCTTATATTTCCAAACTAGATGAGTAGGTTTTCTTCTGTTTTATTCTGAAAGACAAGAAGGAGAAAATAATAGATTGCCTGAAGACCTGTGGAGTGTCTGTACCAAGGAGATGGGATATACAGTTTGTTTTACAATGGAGGGTTATAATACAGTGCAGTATTATATTCTAGTAAGTGTGTGAGATAATGCAGTCACTGTTATGGCTGTAGGAATAACCACAGCCCTCAGAAATAGGGAAAGAGACCCTTCTCATGAATATTTGTTACCAAATCATCCACAGATAAGTTTAGTTCAGTAGATTGCATCTTAAAAAAACAACGGGTTGCAAGTTCTTCTAGTCAATATGGGATTGTGCTCTGAGCCCTGCAGAAACCCCACACCAGGCATGTGCTGTTCTTAAAAGAAAGTTAAATCTGAAAGTTACTTGTGAGGGGTTTTTTATAAGAGTTGTAAATTCAGCTTTTCTGCAGGGGAATCAACTTGGCCTCAGGTTTGAGTTTCTTGTGAGAATGCTTTGTGTGGATATTTGGGGTTGAAGGAATGCACAGCAAGGCCTCTCATGCTCCCTTACACACATGTATAGGCTGTTCCCAAAGAAACAGAGTGAAAACAGAGGCTGGGAAAAAGCCATTTCCCCCCAATTCTGTTTTCATCATCCCAAAGGCAGGTCAGAGGCAGGAGTCTGTTCCTGGGCATGCATTTCCCTGTGCTGATGGGCTCGTGGCCAAGGGATGTGTTCCACTGGCCACCTCTGGATCCAGCTCTGTGCTGGGCTGCCCTGGGCTGGCTGGGCTCTACCTGAAGGTCAAGCAGGCAGATTGAGCTGCTGTCAGCCTGAAGAGTTGGCCCACAACTGATGGTTAACGGGGAAGGGAAGGAAGGGACAGAGGGGGACCAGATGTGCTCACAGACACCAATAGATCATTCCCTACACCACTACACTGCTGATTTGGATCAGCCCCAGGAAGTATTTGGGCTGTCTGGTCTCAGGAAAAGGAAGAATTCCCCTAAAAGCTGCTGCTGCTTGTCCACTTGTTTACCCAGGAATGTGCTGTGGTTTGAGGCTTTTTCAGCCAGGCCTGCAGGTACCAAAGGAGGAACTGCCATGAGAGCCCCGGGCTGGGTTAAATCCTGAACTGCCCTGCTCTTGCTCTGGGCTCTGCAGGTCTCACACATTATATAGTCTGTAGAGACCAAAATAAAAACACTCAGATGAATATTTCAGCTTTTCCAGCACTTTACCAACCATGTCTTGGTTTGCCTCTGATTTTTTTGTGTATTTAAGGATTGATTGTGTGGGTCAGGTGGTGCATCACTTGCTGGTCTCATCTGAGAGCCGTGGAATGCTTTGGGTTGGAGGGACCTTAAAGCCCATCCAGTGCCACCCCCGCTATGTGCAGGGACACCTTCCACTGTCCCAGGTTGCTCCAGACCCTGTCCAACCTGGCCTTGGACGCTTCCAGGGATGAGGCAGCCACGGTTTGTTTTGTCATTTCCATTTAGGATTTTTTTGATTCTTCATAGACATATTGGTTTGTGTGTGTCCCTTCTCACTCTGACTGTCATCCTCTGCATGTTACTGCCTTGTACTTGGGATTAGGAATGTTTTTGTTCCGGGCAGTTTGAGCTCTTCTGTCTAGTCTAGTGCGTTAAAATAGTTTCGGGGCTGTTGCACCCTGAATTTGTTTTTTCTCCTCTAGGCTTCTTTCCTTTGAAATGGTGCTAATCCATTCACTGAATCAATGGCTTGAAGAGAAGAAAGCACATTTCCATGTTTTCTTTATTCCTCCCTCCCTCCACTTTTCATTTCTTATGAGTTACGAATTCATCACTCCATGATTAATTTTGCCCTTGATTGCCTTTTGTCCTCATGTTCTCAGTCAGGTTTTCATCTCTATGATGCAGAGTGATATGCAGAAGACATTCCACACTCCTTAATTCTTTCTTGTTTTATTATAACATTGTCACCAATCTGTTCAAGAACGTGCCAGTTATTCTGTGGTCCTGTTGTGTTGTTGAGAAAGGGCATTTTGCTTCAGTCCATTTCTCTTGCAGTGAAATCTGGACTGTTGTTCCAGCAGGAAGCACACGGTGCTCTGATTGTTTGAGGGCAGCAGCTGCAGGACTGATTGTTGGTGGTCCCTGGGCTGGACATTACCTGAGGTGTGTGCAGGTCTCATGTCCCTGCAGGACATCACGGGCCCTCTGAAGCAGAGCTTGTCTTTGTCCACGTGCAGGGCAGGGAGGCAGCTGGGTCCCGGATCCATGGGAGCTGTGGAAGCAGGAGCTGTGTTGGATTTGATGTTTGCACGCACACAGACACGTTTATTCTCCTTAGCCAGCCTGGTCATGCTTGGCTACGTCCCTGGAAACTGCTCTGAGCTTGACCCAGAGTGGGAGCTTGGGAAAACTCACTCCAGCCTGTGGATGGGGGGTTCCTTCAGCAGTTCCCTCATTCCCACTCCACTGTAAATATTTACCTTTATCCACCAGCCCTGGACAGTCACTGCCCTGGCACAGAGTGAACGTGGAGCGTGTGTGTACTGAGGTGTGCTGGGCCACAGATGTGGTAATTAAACTGAAATTATTGGAGGTGGGAACACAGGGGTGTGTTGTAAGTGAAGGGATTTCTTGAAAGAGTTTTGGCTTTGGGACAGATGTGGGTTGTTAATAACAAAAGCTGTTCTTAGGGGTGCCAGTGCCTTCCAGCCTTAACGTGCTGCCCTCTCTCCCCTCTGTTTGCTCCCACCCTGCAGGTCCCGAGCCTGTGTGAAGATCTCCTCTCCTCCGTGGATCAGCCCTTGAAGATTGCACGAGACAAGGTGGTGGGGAAGGATTATCTATTGTGTGACTACAACAGAGATGGGGACTCGTACAGGTGAGATCCCAGCCAGGGCTGCTCTCTAAATGACATCATGCACAGGGCTTGCAGGCCCTTCTCCCTCTTATTTTCAGCCAAAAAAACACCAGTCATTTAAAGATTTAGAGCCCAAAATGTGCTGTTGTTATTGTGCTAAAGAGGGTGACTGATTTATTTGTCTTTGTTTTCTGGATTGAAACCAGTCAATTCTCTGGCAGAAATGGCCTTGATGGGAAATTAGACCACTGCAATGTTATAAAATCTCTGGAATGGATAATGACAGAAAAGAGATGATGCAAGCCATGAGTTTAAACAAAATCATTTTCAGTTGTACAAACCAGGGTGGATTTGCCAGCTGGGAAAGGCTCTTTCACTCAGTGTTTTGCAGAGAATTGACTGACTTTGGACTCAGTGTCATTAGTTCTGTTTGAAAATCTTGGCCCAAGTTTTTACCAAAGAAAAGGAATCCCCATCTACCAAAACAGGTGAATTCTGAGGACTGGAGACAAAAACAATGAAAATAGTTGGACCCTATAAGCTGTGTATAATTACAATATAATTAATTTTGAAGCAAGAGGGGCTGTAATACTGGTACAATCAGGTTTCAGTGTTTTGGCTGCCACATTGAGCACAGTCTCTCTTTTTTCACATTTCAGAATTTTCACATTTCAGAGGAAATATATTTTCCTTGCAGTTAGGATGATGTTTTTCATTTATGTTTAAACCATCCCTTCCCTTTCTCACATTGCCTGGCTTTCCTTAATGGCTGTAGTGACAGTGGCATAGTTATAGATATTTAATTTAAGAATTATGAGTTTACAGTCCAGAAACCTCTGTGACTCCTGCAGCACTTTTATTCTTTCCCTTAACAAAGGGTGCTGGGCTGTGAGGTAATGACCCCATTCATCTCCTGCCCTGAATTACCAGCTCAGCCATCCTGCTACTACTGGGGATGATTCTCAGGCTTCCACTTCTCTCTCCTTGTACCTTCAGTGTCATAATTTATGTTTTAGTGCTTGGGATTATCTCCAGGAAGAATCTCACTTTGCTGTGTGTAGATTTGATGTAGCGTTTCACGTTCATCTGGCTAGAATGTTTCAAGAATTGTGTTTCAAAGTAGAGTTTCAGAAAATATTTTTTAACAAATCTTTTTTGGCTCAGGCATCGCTGCGGAAGCAGGTGAGCTTGTAAAGGATTCGAGATGAATTGGTTCAGTTGCTTTGAGTTGCAGAAAGGTCCCTCTCTAATGTGAAGCACGTGTTTGTGGATGATTTACACAGAGAACATGCTGAGATACATTTTGTCCTAGAAACAAGAGATGGAGAATGAGAGTGGATGCACAGTTTGACAGTGCCTCTGGATTGTGGCTGAGTGTAAATCCTAATGAGTTATTTAAAATATAACCTACTGCAGGGGGCCAGCAAGTGAGCAGGACCCGAAGGTGGAGTGTCACTCGCATTCTTAAGGGCACTAATCTCATATTTATAAACTATTCCAACCTTCTACAGAAGAGCCTAGTGCCTTCTATAAAAGCATTTTGCACTAATTTTGTGTGCCCCAGCTGGTTAGATCCACGTTAGCAGCTACTTGTAGGTAATTAGTTCTGAATTAGTGGATAAAATAGGAGTTTAGAGCTTCTGCCCCCCACGAGATGTACCCACACAGCTGCAGCTGTGGGATTAAATCCTGAATTTCTTGTGGATCTTTCAAGAGATGCTTTCTCCCTGAAGTTGTGATGTTTCTTGCAGCCCCTTTGCATCCTGCTCAGGCTGCTGACGTGGACATCAATCACCAGGGACACAGGGAGCTGGAAAAGGCACTGGTTAGACAGTAATGGGACATGGTGCAATACTAATAATTCCTGTGTTTAATTGGGGCACATGACAGCCCGTCCTCTAAGGTCAGTGGCACTCCTGCCTCTGAAATTTGCTCCATCTCTTTCTGAGAAGGTATTAAATAGCTACAAGGAAGCAGGAGAAATTTGGTTTTTAAAATCACTTTGAAATTTTCCGGACTTATTAAGTAATGAGGTTTCAGAGAAGCTCTTTCATTTGTTCCTCTAGAACAGGCACCATGTGTTAATTGCTGGCATGAAAGAATCCTGTTCCTAAGGCTTTTGATTCAGGCATTCTGGATTGAAGTGATTCTTCCTTCTGGAATTGATTGGTCCCAGCTCTGATTCATGAAGTAAATTCTTTCCTTCAGCCCACAGCAGAAGCCTTTGAAACCCCATTAGCACTGCCCTGTGCATGTTAATCCCATTCTGTGCCTGTGTCCAGACACTGCTTCGTACCTCATAAAATCTGCAGTTGTTACTAAGAAGTGGCTCTTACACTAATTTAATCAATTAGGCCAAGATCTAGGAGGAGTTCACTGGGCTTTTAAAAGCTTTTGATATTTCCACAGCCATTTTTCAGACCCACATGCTCGATTAGAAGTACCAGGGAATCTTTTTCCCTGCCTGACACGTGCTGTATCCCCAGTTCATGCACACTCCAAGCTAAACAACTTTCCTTTCTATTGGACAGGTTGCTAATTGTATTTCTTTTAGCAATAAATATTTTTAATCCAAGTATTTCCAAGCATTCTGTGCTTCAGCAGGAGAGGTGGGGCTGGGTAGTCAGACTTTCTCACTGGGATCCAGTTTTACAGGGTTGGCTTTTTCGAGTGACTTTACAATTTGACTGGGAATTTGCCTGGAAAAAAAGCTGCTGTGAGAAGTGAATATCCTAATGCTCAGCCCATCACAGTTTAGTCTTTCATTATGTTTAGACAGACTTGGTTTGGCCCATGTTGAACATGGATCAGACTAGAAGGTGGGTTTTTGGAGTCTTCATATTTTCTTCATATTATCAAATCCTGCTTGTGGGAGTCTCACAGGTACTTCTGTGAGTGCTCCTGGAATAACAAAAGTTTTGTGAAGGATATCAAATAGTCGTGGAATCCACATTGTGAAGGCAGGGCTTTTATTAATTTTAGTTTTTAATATTAGACATCAAGGCTGCTGACTTTGTCCATACATTTCCACTCGAAGTGTGTTTGATCACTCTGTTAAATGGAATCCTTATGGGGAATTTGGGGCCAACAACACTGAAACCTGTTAGCTGAAACACAAACCATTCTCTTTTGGGGAAATTAGAGGTCTGACTTTTGAAATTTAAGTGCTTGTCCATCTGTCTTTCTTCAAATAGCCTCCAGTTAAGTGTTTAAATGTGTTGTGAGTGCATTTCCACGAAAATAAAAAATACAGGGCTGTGTTAGGAGTTTTTTTTGTTGGTAAAGCTGCTTCTGGCTCCAGCTGGATCGGGATGAAAATGCCACAAGCTGCTGGCTGGAAGGGTCTGTTTGGGCTGCCCCTCAATGCCATTCCTGCAGCCAGGGGAAGATCTTTGGTGTTTGCACTTGGAGCATCTCCCAGTGGTTCTGCAGGAGCTGCTGCTCACCCTCTGCAGCAGCTGAGCCATCTGGGAGCACCAGGGTAGCACCAGCGGGGGTTTCTGTGAATCTCTCCTGGCTTTCAGAGATTGTAGTAAAGGGATGAAGGAAGAGCTGGGAAGGGACCTCATCCCTGTGTGTCCCGGTCCGAAGGGGGGCTCTGAGCAGGGCTCTGCTCTGGGACCCAGCAGTGGCACCAGAGGAGCAGGCAGGGACTGATCCCAGGGAGCTCCACCTGAGCATGAGGGAGAACAACGTGACACACTCTGGGACACATTGCCAGAGAGGCTGTGGAGTGTCCCTCACTGGAGATGTTCCAGACCCACTCAGACCCAGTCCTGTGCCCTGGCTGACCCTGCTGGAGCAGGAGGTGGCACCAGATGGGGCCCTGTGGTCCTTCCAGCCAGACCCAGCTGGGATCTTGTGGCTGTTGACTCCTCTCCAAAGCAACCACGTTTTAAGCAGCTGTTTAAAATCACAAAACCTCACAATCACTGAGGTTGGAAAAACCCTCCAAAACCATAGAGTCCAAGCTGTGACCGGTCCCCACCTTGTCCCCAGCCCTTCCTTGGACACCTCCAGGGATGGGCACTCCAAACCTCCCTGGGCAGCCCGTGCCAAGGCCTGAGCCCCCTTTCCATGAGGAAATTCCTGCTGGTTCCACCCTGAGCCTGCCCTGGCCCAGCCTGAGGCTGTTCCCTCTGCTCCTGTCCCTGTTCCCTGGAGCAGAGCCCGACCCCCTGGCTGTCCCCTCCTGTCAGGAGCTGTGCAGAGCCACAAGGTCCCTCCTGAGCCTCCTTTTCTCCAGGCTGAGCCCCTTTTCTGCTCCCTCAGCCTCTCTTGGTGCTCCAGCCCCTTCCCAGCTCTGTTCCCGTCCCTGGACACGCTCCAGCCCCTCCAGGTCCTTCCTGTGGTGAGGGCCCAGAATGGACACAGCCCTGAGATGAGAATCGTGACCTGAAAACATCACTTGGGTGGATGTGGTACAACAGCTCCACGTTCCCTGGTCCCACCTTTCCTTCAGGGGTGGTCAGGAGGAGCTGTGGGAGCAGAGCAGAGGCTGGGCTTTGTGCCAGGCACCAGACAGGTGTCAGAGCCTGCTGCCTTTCTGAGAAATGAGTGATAAAGAAAAAGCCTTTCCCCAGCACTGGGACCTGGTGGTGCAGCCAGGGGCTGGGAAAAGTGAGTGGGGAAGGGGGAGATAAAGGGTGGAGGTGCTTTTCTTTGAGCCAGCAGTGCAGTGTGTAAGTTGGTTACTCCAAGGGGAAATGAAAAGCAAAATGCAGGTTTCCAGAATGGGAGCTATAAAAGCCTCAAGCAGATGGGCAAAGAGTTCCATTAATCTTTTAATACCAAATATTTCATTAAGAACACAAAAATCTCTTCCACACCTGCAGAAATTGTTGTAAAACCTGCAGCTTTACAAACCCTGTTAAATCCTTCAAACTGTTCAAAGGGTGTTCTAATATTTTGCTAAAGGTAGAGTTTATTTCAAAGCAGAATAGTGGAGGAAAATGTGGACCTTAATCATAGCCAGCAGTGTTTGGCTCAAATACTGTCAGATCCTAAACAAACTACACAATCAATTTGTATTTGCATGAAAAAACAGTTTTTAATATTTAATGTTCAACAGCTGCAGTCTTGTTGTTGAATATATAAGAAAGAACAGATTGAAACCCAAGAGATTTTTTTTATATAGAAAACCTGAAGCCAGGGAATGACCCCAGGTGAGTTTTGAGGGCTCAGTGTCCCCTTTTCAGTGTTTGAAATGGCTGTGGAGAGTGCACTTCTTACAGGTAGATTGTCTTGGGCACCTTTTGGGTTTTTTTGCAAGTTCAGCATCTGTGGATGAGGTCAGACCCAGCGATATTAAACCTGTCTGAGACATGGAATATCCTGAGCTGGAAGGGACCCCCAAGGACCATCCAGGCCAACTCCTGGCCCTGCCCAGACACCCCAGCAATCCCTGGGAATGTTGTCTGGATGCTCCTGGGAGCTCTGGCAGCCTCGGGGCCCTGGGCAGGCTCTGTCTGCTGAGGAAGGCAGGAGCCTCCCCTGAAATGGGAAATGCAAACCCTCTCTCTCCAAAATGTTATAATTTTGAAGTTAAGGGGCTCTCAGGCAAAGATATGGGAGCAGGAATAACAGTTCTGTACTAGGAAAACTAAAAATACAAATGTAATAGTACAAAACAAAACAAAACAAAAAAAAAACACCAACTGGCAGAGTCGGAGCAGGCCCTGTCCCCCTGTGGGTCAGGGAGGTGGCAGCAGCCCCATCCCAGGGTGGCTCAGCCCTCCTGCAGTCCAGCTGTGCTTCTGCTGGAGCAGGATCCTGCACAAGGGGGGAGTTTTCCTCTGGAGCTCCAGGGCTGGGGGAGATGGGCCTGGGCTCCTCTGGGAATGCAGTGGGAAGAAAGCTGCTCCTCTGGGGATGCAGTGGGAAAGAGCTGCTGCTCTGGGAATGCAGTGGGAAAGAGCTGCTGTGGTGTCCCAAAATCTCAGATTGTATCCGGGTAGGAATGTTTGGCTGCTCCCCTTGGGGAGCATCTCCCAATAGATGATGGAATTTTCTCAGCCATGCAGGGACACTCAATGGCCCATGAACAGAAGATAATTAATAATTAATAACAGAAGCTACCTCCTGGAGGGAGGATTAGTTTGCGGAAGAGATAAAGAAAACTGCCCAATGAACGGAAGATAACTGCCCCAGCTCTGACAGGAGTAGAACACACACCCCCATTTCCAACCTAAGACACTCTTTGACTGTTTTTCCTGTGCCCTGGTGTGACTGTCCCTTTCCTTGTCTCCCTGCAGGTCACCCTGGAGCAACAAGTACGACCCTCCCCTGGAGGACGGTGCCATGCCCTCGGCTCGCCTGCGCAAGCTGGAGGTGGAAGCCAACAATGCCTTTGACCAGTACAGAGACTTGTATGTCAGTCCTACCCTCAGAGCCCTGTCTGTCTGTCTGTCTGTGTCCCCTGGGCAGGCTGGGGGGAGGCAGCTGGGTTTGTGATGCCAGACCTGATCAAATCTGGCAGCTGGTGCCAAAGGCAGATGCTGAGGTGCTTTCCCACCTCCTTTAACAGATTGATGCTGTCTCTGTCCTGGCATGACCTGGCTTCTCTTTGATCTTTAAGTTCAGTCTTAAACCATCTGCTTTTTCCATTCCCTCAAGGCTGTACTCTTAAAAAATCTCTGAGTGCAGCAGCAGCTCTCATCTCCCAGTAAAAGGAGAGGCACTGAAGGCTGAAGTGCAGCAGTTGGGCAGGGATTAATGTACTTCTGCTGCAGGATGCTTCTTTCAGGCCCTGTCTTATGAAAGAGGTGCAAAACAAAGGAATTAATAGAGCCCCTGTGAGATCAGTGCAGATTAGGCAGTGGGTGTTTAAAGCAGCAATAGGAAGCTGTCTGGGTGAGTTACCAGTTGAAGATTTTTTCTGTAAACTGGTCCTGCACTGCACTTTCCTCCACATCCTTGGGATGTGATCAGGTTCAGCTGTGGGCTCTGTACTCTGTGGTCTCCTTGTGCTGGGGTGGAAAGTGATGCTAAAACTACACAGCAAATTAGTGTTGCAAAGCAAAATGAACCAGTAAGTGTGTCCTTTCCTGGGACACTTTCTTAGGAAGTTGCCTAAAGACCATGAAAAAAGTGAACAAACTTCATTGGTGCTTCATGTTGTCTGAAAAGGGAGATAAAACACGGCTTTAGATGTAGTTCATCATGTTACAGTGCTGACAGAAGCATATTAAAAGGAACTTTCCTTGCTGGGTTCTGTGGCTCAATGTAAATGCAGCCTGTCCAAATGTGTTAAGCATCACACTTCTGTTACAGGTATCAAATTTTTACTTCTTTTGGTGCATTATTTTCATAGCTCTCCAACTTCTCTTGTAAGTAACAGTTGTTATTGGTATCTGAACTGACTGGAAGAAAGGAATTTTGCATGTTCAGCAAAGCCAAATTTACAGTTACTCCCCAGATGCAGAACAGAGCAGGACCAATAAGATTTTTAATACCCTGAGATGAAAATGAGGAGGTTTATAGAACCAAGGTTGTCTTTTTAAATCCCTCTCTACTGAGATGACCATGAAGTCGTGCCTGGGTACAATAACTTCTTTAAACAGCTTGAATTTGCTGAAAGGAAAGTGTAGGGCAGGTTTCTGACTGAGGTGAATCTGCTGAGCCCTGCTCAGTGTGGGGTACAGCAGTACCTTTATATAACAGTCTTCATGTATTGGGTGGAAGGAAAAGGTGAGCTTGTTCCAAATTCCATCTTTCTGTTTGTCAGTGCAGGTTTTACAGGCAGGAATGGTCAGAGGGGACCCAGGAGGGATCACAGCCAGGAGGACAGGTCAGGCTATGGGCACAGGTGCCAGCACAGAACACTTCCTGTGATCCCAAAAGTGGAGGAGGAAAAGAAGACAGGGGCACCTTCATGTTTGGCTGAGCAGCATAAAAAAATTGTGGCGTTTGTGGAAAGAATTTGCCAAGTTAAGGAAACTTAACCTCAGCGTCTGAAGGGTTCGTTGTGCTTAAAATCAGGATTTGTACTTCACCTTCAACAGATATGGGAGAGAAACAGGCTTTTGTTCTTGCAGTTGGGCTCTGCAGTTTTCTGAATAAGACAATTGGATTTTTGTGTTTTGACAGCAGAAGCTTAATTTTTATTTTGGAGACTGGAGGGTGGAAATTCAGAGGTGGCAACAAGTGCCAGCATCCCTCAATGCTGCTCTTGCCAACACGCTGGGCTGGGAATGGCTGCAGCAATTCCTCACGGAGCAGCTGCTGGGGCTGCCTGGGCAGGGCTGTGCTGGGAGGGTGGCAGTGCCAGGGATGTCCCTCCATGGCTGCTGGGGCTGCCTTGGGAGGGTGGCAGTGCCAGGGATGTCCCTCCATGGCTGCTGGGGCTGGGAGCTGACCCTGGGAATGCTGTAGAGCCTCCAGTGGGGCTGGGCCAGGCAGAGTCCATGGAGGTGGCACTGCCCTGGCAGTGTCACTGCTCTGGCAGCTCCTGGAGCTGGGGAGGGAGGGCACAGGGCATCCTGGGCCAGGAACCTGTGTCCTTCCCCATTCCAGAGCCAGGCACAGCAGAGCTTTTCCAGCACTGGGAGATACTTCAGGCTCCTTGGTGGATTAATCAAAGAGCTAAGCATGCTGGCTGTCCTTAGGACTGGATCTTTTGTGGAAATTCTGGTTACTGTAAGATAGGGAGATCTATGCCAGGTTCACCCGCCAGGAGCAGGGATCAGTCTGTAGGCAGTGTGCAGAAAATGTACATTTTGTGTTGACCTGCAGAGGCTTTCATCGTTTCTGCTCACTCTGGTGAGGTTGCCTGCCCACACAGATCCTTCACAGGGGACACCACTTTACAAAATCTCTCTTTAAAAGTACCAGTTTAAGTGGAGTGGCTGCAGGTGAAGAGGATGAAAATGCTGCTGAGGGAGTAGCCTCAAACCTGACACAGCAGTTCCTCACCTTAAGAGGCTGTTCTGTCCCTCTGTGGGGCAGAGAATGTCTCTGAGCTGCCTCTGTAATCACAGCTGCTGTTTCATGCAACAGAGGTAACAGTGAGTACAAAAGTAATCACAGCACTCACAGGGAACACCACATCCCAACCTGCCTGAATTTCCTGGGCTGTTCAGGCATTTTATTCCTGTAATGAGAGTTTCTGCTGGGTTTTTCAGAGCAAGTAGTGGCTTTGTGTCCAGACTTGCTAGGCAACTTCTGCTGTCCTAGGTTATTCCAAGCCCAGTCCAGCCTGGCCTTGGACATTTCCAGGGATCCAGGGGCAGCCACAGGTTCTCTGGACACCCTGTGCCAGGGCCTGCCCACCCTCACAGGGAGTAATTCCTTCCCAATGTCCCATCTAACCCTGCCCTCTGGCAGTGGGAAGCCATTCCCTCTTGTCCAAAGTCTCTCTCCATCTTTCCTCTTGGCTCCTTCAGGCCCCAGCCAGGTCACCCCAGAGCCTCCTTTCTCCAGGCTGAACAGCCCCAGGTCTCTCAGAAGTGTCTGTGCACAGGGCTCACGTCACTCCTGAGCTTCCAGAGACACCTGGAGATAAATGGGCACTTGGAGAACATCTCCATCCCACCCTGCCCTCCCCATGTGGTCCCATCCTCCCCTTTTACCTCCAACACAGAAAGTGCTGATATCTCACAGAATTCATCTCAGGCCTCTCCCAGCACTTCAGATTGCTTCAGTTCTTCCTTGTGTCAGTCCCATTTGGCCCACACACCTTTCCTTTTTAGATTTCTCTTTTCATCAGGTGTGGTAAGTCTCCACCTACGTTCAGTGAGTCACTGCATTGTATTTGCCATTTCCCAAGGGGTTGGCACCTGCTGTCGTGGGTGTTTGGAGGGAAACAGCCTGTTATGGGTTTGTTAACAGTTTGTATGGAATAATCCAGTCAGATTTGCTTGCTAGGGACCTTAAAATCCATTTTTGTCCCCAAAAGCTTAATGGCCACTGAGTGACTGTAGAGTCAAAGCAAGTTTGGGGGGGAAGTCTTGTAACATTGCATGTAATAAAATCATGCAAGCTGGAGAAGAACAATTCTGCTGACCCTTCAGTGCCTGTGAACCAATGCTGAATTTGCCTTAAGTGTCTGTTTTAGTGCAAGCCACATTTTTACCTATGGAATTTCCCACCTTTCCTTTCTGGAGGCATTTGGGTTAAAGAGGAATTACACCAGGTTGTAGTTCCCTCTCTGTTCTCCGTGTTAAACAACAAGCATGTTTCTTGGTTATCTGTTTTACCAAAATCCATGTCACTTTCCCAAAAAACAACTGTTCCATTTCCATCTCCTGCTGCCAGGTTTAACTCCAGCAGTGCCTGGAGCTAATGCTCTGGTATGTTTGTGTTCAGTAGGTTATTATTCCCAGATGGAAGTCTAATATCTTACACCACTCAGTTAGAGCCTTGGCTTTCCACTTCCAATATGGTGAAGATAATTTCTTCCAACACATGGTTGTAATTTATTGCCCTTTGCTTGACGTGTGTGTGCTTGATTGAAATCAAAGCATAATGAGGACCAGGGCAGCTGGTTAAATCTCCCTATTTTAGATTCTGCCTTCCCTTGTTTTGGGTTTGAGATAATCAGGCCTTTAATTAAGTAATCTAATGGCTCTTTGTTGTCTGGAAAAAATAATTTCTGAAGTGATTAAATAGACCTCCCCTGGGAAGGATGCTGCTGATCTGTCTGCAAACAGGATGAGTTTTGGCAACTTGGGACTGGTTTAGTGACTGACATACATTTAGAAAGCTATTCCTCCTTTTTTCTGTGGCTTAAATTGGATTTATTGGTGCTTTTGATTTTTAACAGCTTTAAAAAAAGATGAAACATCATCTTAATCATTCTGCTTCTGAAAAATGTTTGTATTGATTAAGATTTTGAGTTTCCTCAACAGAGTGAGCAATGAAACCTTTTGAACTTCTGCTTCTGTCTCTGTTTTGATGTTGATCCATTTTCAGTTTGTTATATTAGAGCTCTGGACCAGGAATTTGGTAGGAGTGGAAGGAGGTCTGGGAGAGGATTGACCTCCGAAATGTCTTTGTTGTGTGTAATCCTTTTATTATTGAATTTTGATTGGAATCTAGTGCAGAATAGTTACTGCAGTTTTGGACAGTGTTAGCAGTGCTGAGAGTGGCAGCCCAGGCCTCTGCTCTTTGCAGTGTGGCTGTTCCTGCCCTGTGGATGGAGCAGAGGGGCTCTTTGCAGCCAGCTGAGCCCCCACTGCCTCAGCAGGGTGTGGGCTGAGGAGCCTTTGGGCAGGTACAGCAGTGAGGTCCCAGTGACAGATGAGTTTGCCCTTTCGTTTTTAGAGTGCTCAGGGCTGAGTGTATTTTTTATTTTTATTACTCTGTTTAATCTCGTGGAACAGCCTGGCTTTGCTGGCCTTCAGGGATGTCTCATTTTGTGCCATCATCT